CAGAGCGACGTCTTTGCACGTGACGTCAGAATTACCTGTACCTGAAATATAAAATTCATTCCTTTCCCTAGCTAATCAACCAGTTGCACAGAACAAAACAAACTAGTTGACACCACAATTCAAGCCGAGATTCTCCACCATTCTCTCGGGCCGCGATAGCCAGCTTCACCGCCGTTGGCGCATAGTGAAAACAAATCACGCTTTTTGACTATATCAAAGGCTTTTTCGTAACAAAATGGTGACGACCACGGCCTACAATAGTGACCATCGACCTTCCGGCCTAGGGCAATCACTCCTCTACTCTGTAGTGTACAACACGGTCCACACTGATTTCCAGCACTAAGATCTTCCTCAGTATGACAGTATTGGTGGCCAACAACCACATTCACGGCCCAAACTGGTTTCAGCACTAAGGTCAACCACAGTTGACAATGTTGGATACCACCAACTAACCATCCAAGGCGAGAAACTCCACCTTCTTCGACCATTCTCTTGGGCCGCGACAGCCAGCTTCACCACAGTTGTAAGTTACTTCATTATTTCCTTTGTAAATAAATAACGTACTACGAACAATACACGTGTTTAAATTTACGAAAATAATCTCCGCAAAATTTTTTATTGTAATTCGGTGCACTTTTAGCGTTCGAGAGTACGTCTGTTCTCTGTGAGATCACAAGTCGTACTGCTCAAACCAATGATAAAAAAAAATAAAAATCGCATACAAACAGCTAAGGAAAAAAAATCATAAATATAAGGAAGGACACTTATGAGAATGAAAAAATATGGTTCATGGCATACGAATAGCTGTACGCACAGAATTGTTTTAATTATTTCAACCAACCATCGTAGACATCGTCTTTAAATTAATCAATCTATTGTAGATTATGCTATTTTGATACTGACCAGCGTATTTGTGTGCTGGGAGTTTTATATTGTCCTCCCAAAAAAGAAAGTCATTTATATTTTAGGACTGTTTCATTAAGCAACCTCTCACTTCGGCAGATAACAGAAAACTGGAAAAGATTGTCTATGGCTATCGATCTTCTGAAAACCGCTAGATTTGCACTGACCAAATAGCTTTTATGTGAGCTAAAGGCCATTACCCCTAAACATAGGCACTGATCTGTGTTCAGATTAATGAAGATGATTTTTTTGCACCTGCTTTACAATACAGTTTTCACCAATAGCAGAACAAACGACATCGCGTCTACCATTTTTGGTTGTGTGCTTATACGCATTTTGGCTGTGTGCTTATACTATACTGCCGTCCTAAGCGCAGAAGCGGTAACTGCACATTTAAAGGAAATTGACATCTTTCCGTAATATGAACCTAGGGTTAAAAATCTCTACTTTAATAAGGTATTAAATCGGTATTTTGTCAGTAAATGATTGAAATATCAAGTTATTTTTAGCGGTGTCTGTTACCAAACGGAGTTGGCAGAGCTATTAACATAAAAGTACCAATATCTCATGACAGCCATTATGTTAATTACCGCTTCTGCGCTTAGTACGGCAGTATAGTAGTAAAGTTTAGTATTTCGCTTGAAAATATAAGTAGGTACATAGTACTACATACCTATATGTCGGCAAAGTTATTAAAATTTGATCGCATTTATGATCAGTAGAGACCAGTAGGCACTTAAAATTGAAAAAAAGCGCAAAATAGGCAGGTAAAAAGGCAAACAAGGTACAAGAAGGCAATATTTAAAAATATAAGACTTTATTCCGATCAACACAACACAAAAAAATGTTAACCTAATTCAACAAAATATTAATGAACTTTTAATTGTTTTGTTGATTCATGTGCACTAGGGTGAGCCAAAAAAACTAACCTATCGGATTTATGGGTTAAAATGAACCTACATACCGAGCAAAAAATTTCCCTGCAAGGCAAAATTTTTTGCTCAATTTTAAAAGGTGTCGGTGAGCATTCTAAGTTTTTCATTGAAATAACACGTAAAAAAATCTTTTTTCATTAAAAAGACTATAACTTTTGAACCGTTTGAGATAAAATTTTTTACGTCGCGGATTCTTGTAGATCATAAAATTTCCCAAAGAATCTATACTGCAGTTTTAGTGATTTTTTACACTTTTCAAAGCTTTCAAACATACGAATTTTTTAATTAAAAAAATAATCCTGGTATAGATTCTTTGGGAAATTTTATGCTCTACAAGAATCCGCGACGTAAAAATTTTTATCTCAAACGGTTCAAAAGTTATAGTCTTTTTAATGAAAAAAGATTTTTTTACGTGTTATTTCAATGGAAAACTTAGAATGCTCACCGACACCTTTTAAAATTGAGCAAAAAATTTTGCCTTGCAGGGAAATTTTTTGCTCGGTATGTAGGTTCATTTTAACCCATAAATCCGATAGGTTAGTTTTTTTGGCTCACCCTAATGTGCACTTGAACTAGCAAACTATGGAGCCTACACAAGAAGTATGAATTTAATAGGGGAAATTGACAGAACGTGCCTACTAAATTGCACAATACATGTTTTTTTCACGACCAGCAGCGCTGATTGCCATTTTGTACTAACGTCTGCTGTTCGGTACCCCCTTATTTTGGAAAACCATTTGTATATAATCAATTCATGTACGCTACCCTGCTAAGCTAAAATGCTTTTAGTTAATAAAGGACTTAAGATCATTTTAGTTGTTAAAATTGTAGATACGCCCTTTTAGCTTAGCAGGGCAGTTCCGTAGCTCAAACCCTAGACCAAGCCAAGAGAGGGCGCGGATTTTATAATTTTTTGACCTTTTTGACGTTCAATTATATCCGTAGTTATTGAATTTTTGTAAGATTTTGTGTATTTGTGTGTTTTTATTGTGTATTGTAGGTTTGTATTATAATAATAATTTATAAACGACACTTTGACCGAATCATAATCTTTTAGATGGTAGACATGTATTGTTTAATAAAATGTATGGATTTAACAGTACCTATTCTTCAATTTCAAAATAATGATCAATGAGACAGTTACTTTTGGTAGACTATCATAAATAACAAAAACAATGTTTCTTATCATATAAGTATGAGTGGTACTTTTGGTATGATAATGATTCAACGAGTTTTACAAATTAAAAAAAATCACAGATTTTACAAATGAAAAGTAAATACACATACATTTCTTTTAAAAGCATTCTATAAATTCCATAAATCTGCGAATTTCTTTAGTTTATAAAAGTCGCTTGAGAATTACTATACAGCATAACCACAGAAGTACCTTAAATACATGGTAGTTATTGTTTTCGTTACTAATTACATTAAAAATCTAGCCACAAGTTAGATTTTCAATATAGCGCTATTGAAGTAACCAATCAAATACGTTGATTTTCCACCAATTAAAAGCTATGTTGGCAACAGTTGCCTGTAAACAAGTAATTTAATTTTTAACCAAGTTCAGAGAGGGCGCTTCATTTGGCTCCAAACTCTTTAAGATAGTCATCTATTGGTTTGGTTTAGGGCTCAAACTAAATGTATTTTTATTAGCTTGGCTACAATGACAATGTTTTTTCACGAAGTTGGTATCTCATTTAATTTTAAAATTTAATGACATCTTTAAAAACTGTCAGAATATTTTTATTAGCGGCCCAGTATTTCGAAAAAAAAAAGAAACGAAACATTCAGAAGACTTTACATAAAATTCTGGAAAAAATGGGCAAATCTTTTCAAAGAAAAGATTAATTTGACAGATGACCTAACTTCAAATTCAAAGACCCATTTGGATCTCACACCGCAGAAAATTAAAGAATAGCGCCGTCTGCAAAGCATGCGTGCACGCATCACTGCAAACGTTACTAGGTAATCAAAATCTAGTTTGGGCTATTATAATAGTACGTGAATTGTTATTTTCTACGACCACTATGTAAAAGTCACTTTTCATGATGGCATCGTTGCTTAGAAAATAAATCTTTTCATTGGCAAGGCAAAACACGAATGTAAAGTGACATTTCTGTGTGAAAAGTGACAGGTCTGTGTGAAAAGAACCGGAAAGCATCGTTTGACATTCAGCTGTCAAAAAAGTTTTTAGGTTATTTTGTTTTGTATTTAAAAATAATAAAAAATAATAGGGTCGCAGAAAAAACATTGTGTTATACTTGTGAGAAAAGCTTTCTTCAAGCTCGTGTTAATGCACACTCGGCCTAACGGCCTCGTGGGCAACTTAAAAACTCGCATGAAAAAGTCGCTTTTCAACACTTGTAAAACAAATATCTATTACATGTATACATGGTTTTTGCACTACTTGTGTAGGCTCCATGTAGCAAACAATCATTTTTGTGACATTTTCTTTTGTTAAATTATGTCGTTTATCCGATATAATATTTTTGTAAAAGAAAAAAGAACGTCGCCATTGCTCTGACCATTGTATCGCATTATAGCTTGTCTTACAATAACAAAAAAAAAAACAGTTTTAATCTTGGTGGTCACATCGGAGTTCATAGGTTGGAGAAAATCTTTGCATAGGTCTGGTCAAATTTGTGTTTTTATTAATTTTGCTGAGCGGAGCTATGTTCGATGCTATGGTCGGCGCGATGGTAGGCGCTTCGTTGCCTTTAAAGCATCACGCACTGATATAAAATCACACAATTTGTATGGACCGTGTCCTGTATAAATTTATACTGTCGCCTATAATTCATAAAGGAGATGCCGCCTATGAGTCGACTTTAGTTTTTATTCTGTTTACACTGACTTTGCATAGACTATACTATTTTATTTATTTATTATTATTCATTAAAAAAAAGTACTAAGGTACTAAAAAGGCGTTATGTTTCCTATTTTAGGCAAGCATTTAAGTATTTTAGGCAAGGTTTAGGCATTTTACTAGCTGAAGGTCAAAAAAGGCAAAAATGATGTGGATTAAATTGAACTAAAAATGTCCAAAACACATTTTGCACCAAGAATTTTTAACGGCCTATCAAAATAAACGATAAGCATTTTGCCTAGAATCTGGTGTCTAATGATCAGTAAAATTTATGGCCCGATAATTAATTTGCAGACCTAATAAATGACTATTACCTCACTATTGATTTTATTTTTAATCGCCTTTTCTTTAATAACCATCCAGGCTGCGAATAAAGTCATAATTAAACCATGCCCTATATCTCCAAACATAACAGCAAAGAGAAACGGAAAACTTATTATTGTAAAGGGAGCAGGATTGATTTCTCTATAGGAAGCTATGCCGTATGAATCTATCATCGATTGAAAAGCAGATGTAAATTTGTTTACATGGATATAGGTTGGTGGAGTCTCATTTGTATTGATTTTATTTAGAATTGGAGGTACAGAACTTCCACTTGCCTCCTAAAAAGTTAACATATATGTTGTTTTCGTTTTTCTACTTGTGAAAATACCGTTCCTCTTCTTAAGGCAATACTTATATTATTGATTTCAAGACAAGGCACCCAGCATTCAGCTATAAGGCCTTTTTTAGTAACATCCATATTAAGAAGGTTTAAAGTGTGAAAAATACTTTTAATTTTTCGAACTTTTATGTACCATACTTTGATTTTTTTTGCTGCTGTTTTTAATACTCTTTTGCGATGTCCATTAGTTTGATCTAAAATCTAAAATACTTGATAAAAATAATTACCAAATTAATAATATTTTACTAACTATATTTAGATCTTTTATTCTTGACTTAACCACAATTGCCATTGCATGCCGTTCTGAGAAATTTTCTGGACATGGATAGATCGTTGCTCTAAATCCTTCGCATACTTTTACTACCCTTACTTTTAACTGATCTCCCTGGTAGAATATAATGAATACCGACTTGTGGGTTTTTGCTCTCTATGGAAAATTAAAGTTCTGATTATGGTTTATATATTTTTATTGCAGATTTACTGTTGCCGGATCTTCCAGGGCATCCTCAATTTCCGCTTGTCTAATAAATACGTTGCCGCGGCAAACCCTCCATATCACATTTTCAAAAGTGCGAAGCTTATCGCGAACTATCACGCCAGTTACAAAGCTAAAAAGGTTTGTTTATGATATTTAGCTTGGTTGATTTTTTATTTACCCTAGTCTCGCTGCCAATGCACGTCCTTCCTCATTTGGAAAATTTGTTTGATCCTCTGGCGGCTCGTACACCTGAAAAGATTCCTCCGATTAAACTTAACTCCAAATGCTAACCCCTTGCGTGATTTTACCAAAAATATGTTAGCGAAAAACTCGTAATAAAACAAAATATGCATGACGTGACCTTATAATCTCAATAGAAATTACTTGTGTAAAAAAGTACCCAGATTTAATTAAATTTAGTTAAAATGCAGTTTTTTTCACTTTTTTGCTGTTTCTTTAATTAAAAAGCATATTCAAATAAGTATAAGTCGTTATCGCCAGGTTCATAATGGACAAAACGGTATACCTCAAAAGACATTCCATACGTAGTTTGGCTTCTGATGGGAGAGCTGCTTTGTTACCAGATAGAAAATGCGCCTGATATCTATCTACTCTTCAACTTTGGGAATCTGCCTTTGCAGTTTGTTAACTTGTCCAAACTGGACGGCAGCTCCTCTTCCTGCGGATTAACTCTTCCTACTCTAGCATCGTCTATTTAGTCATCATTGTTTGCAGCATAAGGAGCCAATCGGTTGCAATGGTTTACTTTCGACTTACCTCTTGGTTGTTTCCATGACTTCGTATGGTCCTTAAAAAGTTTGCAGCCTCGGCGAATAACCACGACGACGCTGAGGGTTGTATAACCAAACTAGGTCTCCAGGTTGAAATCCTTCATGATGGCGTATGCCTTTTTCATTCTGTGAGTGGCACTCTAAATGTTAAAAGGAACTCGACTGTGAATGTCACTTATTTTCCTACGTAACTTGCTGACATAATCTACCCCAGCAATATCTTCCCCTGGTGGGCAGCCAAACCAGAGATGGAGGAAGCGATCCCTGTGTCTTTGATGATCAGAGACTACCTTCGACAGGTACCGGTTTATCGTTCGATTAATTCGTTCTACCATTCCATCAGACTGCAGTTGTAATGCGGTCGTCCTCGTCTTTCGAATGAACAATATAGATTCAAAATTCCTGCCTTGATCTGAATGAAGTAGTCCATTACAAAAATGATGTATTTATTTCCAGATTCTGTTTCCGAAAATGGACCCGCCACGTCGATTGAATTTTTTTCAAATGGGCTGCCAACGTTGTACTGTCGGGCGCTTCTGGGGTCCATTGCTTGCCGCGCAAACCTCTTCTTGCACCATTCCTTCACATCTCATTGGCAGTTGACCCAATAAAACCATTTTCTAAGTTCCGAGCGTCCTCGTCAACCCAAGATGTCCTACAGTGGTTCCATCATGAATTTCCTGCAGCACCTCTGGTATGCTGTTTCTGGGGACTATATTTACTTCCGGCCTTTCCCTCTTTCTGGAATCTCCAGAACACAAATATTAGGAAACTTCCTGCTACGTTGGTCTGCGGTCGTTCTTCTTCCAGTTGATGAGCTTTAAATCCGGGTCCCCTTCCTGGTCTTGTTGCACGAGTGTAGTCCTTCTAATAAACACATGAAGTGGAACTCCTGTAGTCTCTCAATCCATCTTGCTACCTGTCCTAGAGTATTTTTAAATTGCAAAAGCCACTTGAGAGCAGCGTGGTCCGTTCTTAGTAAGAATTTTGTTCCATACAGGTACTTGTACTGACTTTACCAATGCCAACAACTCGAGTCGAGTAACGCAGTTATTACGTTCTGGTTTGGATAGAGTTTTACATAAGTATCCGATAAGTTTCTCTTTTCCTTCTTAAATCTGCGAAAAAATGCCTCCCCGGTCCTCATTGCTGGCGTACGTGTCCAAAATAAATCTAGCATCCTGGAGAGAATCACTCAGGACCTTTGAGCGTTTTCAGGTCCTCAAAGGCTCTTTGGCACTTGTCGTCCCATTGGAATCGTCTCTCTCCCTCTGTCAAAAGTGTCAAAGGCTTAGCAACCTTTGCGAATCCTTTTACGTATCCAAAGAATCTTTTTAAATGATTTATTTACAATTTTTAAATGATGTTTTATCTTCGGTATTGGCCATTCCCGCACAGTCTTTACCTTCTGTTTGTCCACTGACACTACCTGACTTGAAACTTCATGGCCTCTGAAACAAGTGACATTTGGGCTTAAGCTTCAGGCCGGAACTTCTTAAGCGCTGAAAAACTTCCTTTAGGTTCCTCATATGGTCCTCAAATGATTTTCCAACCACAATGATGTCGTCAAGGTACACCAAGCATGTCTTCCAAGATAGTCCCTTTAAAACCATTTCCATGAGCCTTTCAAAAGTTGCAGGTGTATTACACAGTCCAAACGACATGCCACAGTCCTGCACCCACTGTAAATGTCGTCTGTGCCATTTCAACCTGCCAGTAACCGCTCTTCATATCCAAAGTCAAAAATATTTATGATTCAGCCAATGTGTCATCGATCCTAGGTGGAGGGTAGCTGTCCTTCGTGACGCTGTTCAGCTGACGAAAATCGACGCAAAATCGAGTTGATTCATCCTTTTTCTTAAATAATACTACTGGGGAAGACATAATTATGTCAGTTTCATCCGATTGGCAAGTGGCAGCCTTCTTGTCGAATAGGTTGTGCATCACCGGTATAAATTTTATTTTTTCCTTGTATCCTGATAATTGTGTATCAGCACTCACAGCTTTGTGTTTTCATTGGGTTTTAAGTCCTTTGAAGAAGTCGACAGCAGATTCGTCCGTTCATTGCTCATTTTTTTGGCCGGTACTGCAGACTCACGAATGCCTCTAATAATCAAGGAAACCGAAGAACAGTTCCCCAAAAAATCCTTTCTTCAAGTTCACAGAGGAAACCTTAACATTTAATACTCTTACAGGCACTTTTTTCCGACTCGTAATAAAGTCTACCCTATTACAATTCCTCTATCGACCTCTTTGTCATTAATTATCGGCTCAAGCAGCATTATATTTCCATCTTCTGATTTACAATCCAAGATAGCCTTCAATATCATCATGCTATGTTCCAGTATCAAAGCATCTTCTGTAAGCATTACTCTTCTCTTTCGATCGATGTTACACGACTTCTGCTCCATTTATTCTTAATATTCCTTGTTGAAAGTTTAGTTTAAATCCTATAGAGTTCATGCCTACAATAAGTTCATCTTTAATAATTTTGTGTTTCCTATGACGATCGTGATGTCCACTTCTGCATGAACAGTGGGGATATCTACTCCGTAGACGCGGATTTGTAGATTTGATAATCGACATTTCGACAATATCTGGCCTAATAATTGTCTTCGTTGCACGTATATCCAGCAATAAAACCATCCACAAAAACACTGCTGGAATGTAGACTAGATCTAGTTTTCCGACTGAAACGGAGTTGGCGCCACCTGGCTTCCTCTGCAACGACTTCGTATATGTCCTAGATTTCCACATCTTCAACACCGGATTTCCTTCATTTCTGGTAAATTCTCTTTAAGTACTGATTTCTTCAATTACACTGGGTTCCTTCTTTCTCTTCCTTGTCTCTTTTAAAGCAAGAGTCAATGCTGTAGTCTTCTGTTTTGGCACCCAGCCATTTGCTTTTTCTGCTGCCTCAAGCTGACGGATCTAATTGGTCCAAGTTTTTCCATCGAACTGAGGTAGTTTTAGTCGAACTCGGCTCCCCTCCGGCACTGCTTCTTGTTCCGCCAGCATCATCATTAACAGAAGTCAGTTTAGTATTTATGTATCTTATTTTAGGTTCCAATTTCTTATTCATTTGATCTCTCATATCCAATTTCCTTCTTGGGATCTCATTTAATTCCATCCTTACGTCGTCAAATTTCTGTTCCACTTTCTCTTCTAATTCATTGACATTTTCTAGATTTTTTTGTTAAAACTCGTTAGAATTTTCCAGAATTTTCTGTTGTAAATAGCTAAAATTTTCCAGCATTTTCTGCTGTAACTTGTTTTTTGTAATTTTTCGTTTCAAATCGACTTTTAGATATTTAGAATTTTCTAAAATGTTCTGTTTCAAATCACATTTCAAATTTTTAAAATTCTCAAAAATTTTTTTTTTAAAATTTGCAACATTAAATGTATATCACACGGGCCTTCAAATAAATACGTATCTGGATTTTCACCCTCCTGTTCTAACGCCTTTTGAAGTCGCTGCTGCAACATATTCTTTCCACTAACGAAACCATGTTCGCAAACACTAATTCCACTTCCACACGTTATCATTTTGCACTTTCGGGTTCCTCAGAAAGGGTTTTACGAAACTGCGACAATATTTCCGTGTTGACATTTTTTTTACATGTTAAATACTAGACTGGGTTAATTATTCGTTTCGTTCGTCTATTAACAACTTCAAAATGAAATAAAACGTGATAAAAAATTGTTATAGAAGAAACGTAGACCTCTACGTTTCATACAAAACCATTTTTATTATTAATTTGAAATATTTGGCGAAAAATCTATCAATTTTTTTATCAAGTTCAGTGTTAAGAAAAATAAATAAAATTTCCTGTTCTCGTTCATGAGCACATTTACTGGCACTTTTATACTATTAAAAGGGTTTATTGACGGCTGCTGACTAAACCTATCTTGCTAAAAACTTACCCCTTCTAAAAATATAGTTGTTTTCTCAAGCACGTGCTTTAATTCAGTAAGTTCCAAAAAATGCGTTCTTAGCGTTATTTCGTTTTGGGTTACTTCTTTTAACTCATTTTCTAGTTTTTCAAATGTACTCTCTAAATCAATTATTTCCCTTGGTTCTGGGGCTGGAGGATTCTCTCCCTTATACGACATCCTTATTTTATCCTTGTTAATCTCGGCCTCCAAATATCTTAGTTTTCTTTCCATCTCGTCACACCGTCTAACTTCATTGACATATTTTCTTTGAAATAGGTTTAAATCAGGACTTAACTAAAAAATAAATTTAATAAAACTTTATTCTAGCTGAATTACCAGTATTTAACATCTCTAAATTGAACTACTCCCAATTCTCCAAGCTCGGCTACACAAGCATATGCAGATTCGCTTTGCAGAAATATTTGACACAAACACATTTCTGCACTTCTGAATGTTGATTGAGCTTTATAATCTGTTTTGCTAAATAAATTATTACACATATTAACGGTGATTTATTTTAATACGTTAAAATGACTTACTCGTACTGGTTCATTATTTTAAAATATTTAAAGAACTTCAATCATGATTTATTATCTATGACTTTAATACTTTTGGTTGACATTACAGAATATGATTGTCATTTATAATCTATTGTCTACATTTTGTATACTTATGTTGGACTTAAAGACTATTTGGGTATGTTACAGTAGGTAGTACAAAATAATTACTGACTGCTCGCCTGTTTGTTTTTTTTTTGGGGGGAGGAGATAATAAAGCGTGATTTATAAAGTTTTCGTGTAACTTAAATTAGTGAAAAACTAATTGGACCCTGTATGCAACAAGGAACCAACCGACAATTTACGAAAAAACGAGTTAATTGCATTATACATAGTCAAATATTGTCTTCCCCCGATTTGCAATAGCGATACAAAGATCTGGCGGACGATAGAACTTACTTGCATAACCAAAACTATTTCGATTATAATTTACTATAAAGATCCAAAGTTACTTGGTTCCCTTTTGCTAATTCTGAGATGTGTTGGTTCCCTTTTGCGAATTTCCCACGTGTTTTACGGCGTTCTCTGTTTATTGTTGACAGTATTAGATAGGCGTGGTATTAGCGGAGGACACAATAAAATGTCAAATGAACAAAAAGCTTCCGTAGTCTCCCACATAAACAAATTCCCCCGATACAAATCGCATTATTGTAGGGTCAAAAGACTGGACCAAGAGTTTTTGAAAAAAGGAACAACATTGCCAGTCATGTACAACCTTTACAAGAAAATTTAAATATTTCAGTAAGCAAAAAAATATTTTTAACGGAATTTAATTTAAGACAAAACAAAAAAAGATACTTGCAATAAATGTGATGAGTTTAGCACAAAAATGGAAAGTTTACCTGAAGGAGATGAAAAAGTTAGAATCGAAAATGAAAAGAATTTACACTTGGAAGAAGCAGAGACAGCCAGAAAATAAATGAATTTAGATCTTTCTAAAGCTAACTTTCGACATGGAGAAGGCGCTACCTCTTCCTCGGCCAACTACTATAATTGCGGGATTTATGCAGGAAAATAAAAAAAATCCACTTTTAATGTTTGGATCGAAGGGGAAGCGGGCTGTGGAGCTCAAGAAGTGGGTTCCTGTTTAAAGAAATATATTTTATCTAGTGCTGTATTCGAATCTGTGGAAACCATCATCCTCTGGAGCGATTCCTGCGGTGGCCAGAATCGCAATATAAAAATGGTCCTATTGCTAAAAAGTATTCTTGAGCATTCGGTACATTTAAAAAGTATTAGATTAAGGTTTCTGGTGTCTGGTCATAGTTTCCTACCGAACGATAGCGACTTCGGTGACGTAGAATGCGCGATTAAGAGACAAAATAAAGTATTTTGCCCTGAAGATTACATAAACATCATGAAAACATGTAAAAAGAAGCGACCCATTGACGTTCATGAAATAAAAAAAGATGATTTCGTTAGCACTAGGGCATTAGAAAAAGTAATTGTTAACAGAAAGAAAAGTTGTAAATGTGAAAAAGTTAATTGGCTCCAATTTGTTTATATTCAGCCTCATCAACATAGTCCGTTTTTATATAGATACTATTTTTTTTTCTCTAATAAGTTTTATTTCTTTTATATGGAGCCGCTCCATATAAAAGAAATAAAACTTATTAGAGAAAAAAAATAGTCTCTTTATAAAAACGGACTATGTAGATGAGGCTGAATATAAATAAATAAATATAAGGAAGAGAAAAAAATCAAAGGATTCAGACGTACAGTTTTCTCAATTACTGGAATCGCTATGGCCAAACGGGAAACTAGTGGCTCAGCCAAAACTAGATGACATACGCAGTTATTTCTGAGGCTGATCATAATTTTTATACTAGTCTAATAGAGGAAGACATAGACGGTTATAATGAGTTAGACTTTGACTTACACCAATAATATATTTTTTCCTGTTCCGCAATATAGAACCAAGTGTTTTTCTTAGAGTAAAACTTTTATTTTTTGACATACGTAAGTTTTTTTTATTTTTATTGTAACTTGGTTGCGGACCCAAGTGATGTTTGTTAAATTTTCAATTAAGCAATAGGGAACCAGGTATTTTTTCCATACTTGGAATAACTTTTTAAGTGTTTTTGTTCATTAAAATTATTGTTCTGTTTATATATAGTAAAATATGATAGCGTTTGTTCAGTTTAAAAGTGTTTTTATAAATAAATTTTTTAATCAAAAGTCTGAAACGTTTTTCCTCATTTTATCGTAACTGCAAATATGTTGTTTGGTTCTTTGTTGCATAACGGGGTCCAATTGGGAATCAATACGCGTTTAAAGGTAACTTTGCTTTGTTTATAAATTTGATCACATGATCATGATCATCTGATTATGATCATCTGACAGATAAATTTCTTTAGGCCAAGAGATTTTTAAAATTTAAATTTAGTTAGTTTTTTTTTGACTAACCTTAAAACGACAAGTTTGTTTTTTTTTAAATATCTTGAAGCTTCATGTAAAATGCGATGGAAGTTTGTTCTGCGTTGTGTTGGAGAAGTTTATTCTCATCATTAAAACTTATACAATGAACCCTAAATTGCCTAAATTTGTTTATTTAGAAACTGGTTTGACAAATATATCTGTTAAACCCAGGGATACCTCCTTTTAGAGGAGGCCGAGCTTTATGCATGTCCCCCGTCACCGACTGCCTGAAACTGATGAGACCCAACAGGTCGAAACAGTGTGTCTGTCAGTGTTGGTGGGTATGGTTTAGAACTCTTCAAGACGTCTTTTTTAAGAGATCAGTTTTGTGACATACATAAGTGTTCTTATTTTTTAATTCTTATTTAAATCAAAATTATGATCTCTTTAAGAACTCATAGTAAAGACGTCAGTTTTATGATAACATATATTATAATGTATTCATTTTGAAGACTTATCATAGAAATCAAAAGCATGAGTTCTTTTCAATGTCTTTATAATGAAAATATAATTTTTATGCGCATGCTCATAGTGAGTCAATGCGCATGCGCTTGATATATTGTTTACATATGCATTAACCAAAACGAATAGAAAATACGGACACCAATAATTTATTTATCAATCATTTATAAACATTAAATTTATTTAAAAAATAATTAAGTGTGGATTCTATTAATTATATGCCGAATGAAGGTAATATTGTTCATTTATTAATATCTAATTTTTTTTTCATACAAAAAAGTGCTCTTTTAGTTCCACCCTTACTTCTTAAGAAGTCCCATATGCCAACTGAATGGCTTGTGCGGGTTAGGGGTAGGAACGGACCGCGGGCTTAAAGTCCCCTCCGAAGGACTAATACACAATAGGACAGTGACAAACACAAATAAACAGCCATACCCCTGGTGGGATTCGAACCCACGACCTCCGGCTTGTAGTCAGCAGCACTAACCACTAGACCACCGTCATATTTCATAACATTGTGTGAATTTTACAAAGCTAAAGGATACAATTATTTGTGACTCAATACTGAAAAATGTTATTTTAAATTTAATAGGTGATAATGACTACCCGAAAGCCTTTCGGAGAATTGTCGAAAAGCCAAAAAAATCGGCGATTAAAAAGAGACAAGAATGGATCACTATTGCAACAAATTCCTTCTCCACTGCTAACGAGGCATGATGTGAATATTTTTTCTGATGATAAACAAGATACTGCTGATTGTACAAGTTTTAATAATTTCACATTGCCAGAAAATTTCATTGAACACCAAGATGATATTATTTCTGATGATAATGGTGTTGATTTTATTCAAATGGGAATTAGTGACCGCGTTTTAACTGTGAAAGATGTCGATGTTGGTTATTCTGTGCATTGCACAGTGTGCAAACTAAAATTATTGATCCTGATACAACAATTGATTTAAGAACTCAAATAGGACAATGGCAATGCCAATATAACATAACTCAAGCGGCCACCGGATCTCTTTTAAAAATGCTCACTAATGTGAACTCAGTTGATAAGCTAAAAAAATTACCTAAAGATTCACGCACACTATTACACAACTTTAACTTTTGTGGGGCACTTGCAATGAAAATAATTTAAAAAAACTACGAATTCGTTACGAGGATAAGTGTACCTACCTAAAAACCTAGGGTAGAACGAACTGGCTCATAAAAGCCGTTTGGGAAATAAAAAATGAGTTTCTTGAAAAAAGAACCCCCTGCACAGGGTGATCCTCTATAATGTCGCCCCCTTTAACTTTTTTATTTTAAGTCTCCAAAAAAATTTCAAAGTGTGGTTATGTAGGTACTAAAAAATACTTTTTTTCTACGAATAAAGAAAATTGGAAAATTGATCAGTATACAGGGAAAAACAAAAAAAATTTTTTTTTCAATGGATCACCCTATATATGTACTTATTTTTCAATTCCTCGTAAAATTCTAGGCATATTTCATATAACATAGGTACCATATACCTAAATTCAACCGTTTCTGAAATATTTAAATTATTTTTAAGATAATAAGTTGAAATGGTTTGTCTTTCTCTGTCTGAGTAGTCCATTTTTACTTATTTAACAAGACATATTGACATAATGTCACTATAATAATTTATTTTCAATAAAAATTTTGGTATACTGAGGCTTCTTGATTTATAACAGTTTAAAAAAACATTTAATGATAACATTTCGAATGCGAATATTTCAGAAACAGTTGAATTTAGGATATGGTTTGTTATATGAATTATGCTCAGAAGTTTACAAGAAATCGAAAAATAAATTCATATATAGGGTGATCCATTGAAAAAAAATAAACTTTGTTTTTCTCTGTATATTGATCAATTTTAAATTTTTTTTAATACGTAGAAAAAAAGTATTTTTTAGTACCTACATAACCAAACTTTTAAATTTTGGGACACTTAAAATAAAAAAGTTAAAGGGGGGCGACATTATAGGGGATCACCCCAAGCAGTAACTTTTAAAAAAAGTCTAGTACCTCAAAAAATCGTCCATTCGGTTATGTTTAATTACCGTAAGGTTTAGGATCGATTTTTAAAATTGGGCTATAATAAAAAAAACAAAAAAGTGATTTTGAAAGCAACGCTCAACTTTGCACACTGCGCATAGCAAAAGGGCACATCATATAGGTGCACAATGGGGTTTAACTTGTGCCTTATTTAGTACATAATCAAAAGTATAAGGGGTCAAATTCTGAAAAAATTCACAGTTAGCGAGTTATGAGCCAAAAAGCAAAAAAATTCCCCTTTCGGGGGATGAAATTAGGGGACGCGGAAAGTAATGAAAGAGTAATATAAAGAGACCGGCGACTGTCGCAAAACACTTTAAAGTTTCTTCAATAGTCCCATTTACGTAACAAATACTTAAATTGTTGCTTGGGAAGTGCGTACTATATATTATGTACATAAAATGTAAGGTTCAGTCGTCCTCAGTACGTACATACTATGTACTACATAGCAGAGCTGGGCAGTAATTGACTTGAAAGTGCTTGAAAAAGTGCTTCAAGCACAATAGTGCTTCGAGCACAGTGCTTGCAAGCACTTTTAAAATACAGTGTGGTAATTGGTAATTGAAGCCCTTTATAAAAAGTGCTTGGTAATTGGTAATTGAATTTCGCATTTCAAGCCATTTGAGTGCTTGCAAGCACTTAAAGGGCTTGCAAGCACTTTAAAGGGCTTGCAAGCACTAAAGGGCTTGCAAGCACTATCAGATTTGAGGGCTTGCAAGCATTTAAAGTGCTTCCGAGCAGTTTAGACTCTAGAGGGAAATGCCCTTAGTAACAACCCTGTGGTTTCATCATCATCATCTAACGCGGTGTGCGGTGCAGCATAAGCTTTAATGTGATTGGTTGGTTGAAGGCCGACTTGGCCAGTACCTTTCTCCTTCTTGCAGATAATTTGTACTTATTTTTGATGATTTCTTCACTTTAATTCCCTGCTTAAAATACCCCATAGAGACCTATACAAAATAATCTATCGGGCGCTACCGGATTCAATATGTGCATTTGTCCATGGTTTTTTCCGGATACGGCCCGATAGAAAATTTATAGGAAATTACCTATATATACATATATATATACCTATATATATTACCTATATATAGGGTGTCCCAAAAGTCAACGATATCCTTTGGAGGAATGATGGACCAACTCATGACCAACCAGAAAATCAAAACATGACCTTAGTAAAAAATCGTTAGTTTTTGAGATATAGTCATTTTTATGAATTTTGTAAAATTTGACACCTTATATCAGTTTTTTGAGTGCCACAGCTACAAAATTCCATATTCTTAGATTATATTTTATGTTGTGCAATCCTAAAAATGTCTGCTATTGATTACAGTTCAAAATAAAACTAATAGTAGTTTTTTACCTTTTGAAAACAAACATTTTTGCCCGATTTTATACGTTTTTTTATTAGCTAACTTCGACCGTTCAGACTGTAAAAAGACATGTCACGCAAACTTGGCAAGTATTTTAAAAATTGCTAATTTAGTGTAATATGCCATGTTATACTTTAAAGTAAAAGATATTGCTGTTTTACTGCAAAACGAGTTTATTGTTAAATTATTTCAATATTTAGGAATTTAAACAAAAACACTTCTTTAATGAAAATAACAGATATTTAATTAAAAACAAACGAATCACAAATAAAAATTAAATGATATGTTCAAAATGCCTGCCACCAAGTCGAATGCAAGCGCGGCATCTTTTTAAAAAGGATCGTTTTATCTGTCTTGCACTTTCTGCGTCTTTTATTTGTTGTGCGGCTTCATTAATTTGGTCTCTCAATTCATGTACGTTATGAATTACTATTCCATAGACTTTTTCCTTTATGCAACCCAAGTAAAAAAAATTTAGAGGATTTAAATCCGGAGACGGCCTATCCATCTCTCTGGATAAACCTGATCCAAATAATGTCTTACTTCCCGTGCGTAATGAGCTGGACAACCATCATGTTGAAGCCACATTGCCCTGCGTGTGGCGACAGGCACATCATCCAAGAAAATATTGTAATTGCAATACCAAATTTATTTTTATTTACAACCACAATATTGTTTGTTCTTTCTAAACTTAAATGTAAGATGACACCTTTGAAGAAAAAATATTGTAATTTCAACATAAAATTTAATTTTAATAACAATTACAATATTTTTGTTCTTTATTATTAAAACTCCTTTATCCACTTGCCCCTTCAATTGTGTGTTTCTGTCCCGTGTTTGACGTTTGACGTTTGACTACTCGAGTATGATCATTATGCCGTACCAGTATACTGCTCAGGAATATGCAAACATGCATTACATTTATGGTGAATGCAGAGGTAATGGTGTAGCTTCCGCCAACCTGTATCGGGAAAGATACCCGAATGCTTTGAGATATCCTGATTATCGCGTCTTTATAAATGTTCACCAAGCATACGCTGAAGGCAGAATGCCTCACAATCGTGGTAGAATGGGAAGACCACGTATGGATTATGATGAAGAGGTTTTGCAAGAAATTGAAAATCACCCAACTACTTCGGCGCGAGCAATTGAAAGGCGTACAGGAATACCGAAATCCACTGCAAACAGAATTACACGACGCGTATCAGTATCACCCATATCACGTACAGCGTGTGCAAATGTTGCTTCCTCGTGACTACGCAAGACGTGTCCAATTTTGCCGCAGAATGTTGCAGAAACATAGGGAAGACCCAGAGTTCCTGGATAAAATTTTATGGACTGATGAATGCACATTCCATAAAGATGGTTTTATGAACATGCATAATCTTCATTATTATGCACTTGAAAATCCACATTTAATTCGAGAAGAAAGGTCACAGTATCGTTTTAAAGTGAATTTGTGGACCGGCATCTTAAACGGCCAAATAATCGGTCCCTTTGAATTACCTGAAAATTTAAATGGGGAAAATTATCAAGAGTTTTTGGAAAACGAACTGACAAATCTTTTGGATGATGTGCCTGTCGCCACACGAAGGGCAATGTGGCTTCAACATGATGGTTGTCCAGCTCATTACGCTCGGGAAGTAAGAAATTATTTGGATGAGGTTTATCCAGAGAGATGGATCGGCCGTCTTGGTCCCATTTTGTGGCCTCCCCGATCTCCGGATCTAAATCCTCTCGATTTTTTTTACTGGGGTTGCATAAAAGAAAAAGTCTATGGAATAGTAATTCATAACGTACATGAATTGGGAGACCAAATTAATGAAGCCGCACAACAAATAAAAGACGCAGAAAGTGCAAGACAGATAAAACGATCATTTTTAAAAAGATGCCGCGCTTGCATTCGACTTGGTGGCAGGCATTTTGAACACATCCTTTAATTTTTATTTGTGATTCGTTTGTTTTTTATTAAATATCTGTTATTTTCATTAAATAAGTGTTTTTGTTTAAATTCCTAAATATTGAAATAATTTAACAATAAAGTCGTTTTGCAGTAAAACAGCAATATCTTTTTCTTTAAAGTATAACATGGCATATTACACTAAATTAGCAATTTTTAAAATACTTGCCAAGTTTGCGTGACATGTCTTTTTACAGTCTGAACGGTCAAAGATAGCTAATAAAAAAAACGTATAAAATCGGGCAAAAATGTTTGTTTTCAAAAGGTAAAAAACTACTATTAATTTTATTTTGAACTGTAATCAATAGCAGGCATTTTTAGGATTGCACAACATAAAATATAATCTAAGAATATGGAATTTTGTAGCTGTGACACTCAAAAAACTGATATAAGGTGTCAAATTTTACAAAATTCATAAAAATGACTATATCTCAAAAACTAACGATTTTTTACAAAGGTCATGTTTTGATTTTCTGGTTGGTCATGAGTTGGTCCATCATTCCTCCAAAGGATATCGTTGACTTTTGGGACACCCATATGTAAATGTAAAAGTTATGGTGTGCCTGTA